CAGTGGCCCTAATCCTCTTCCGTAGTATACACTTTCTACTGTATGATTTATACTTATTTTAAACGCGTTTGAAGATGTAAACATTTCTTCAGAAAAGTTTATAGATCACCAAACTCCCAAACAGAAATAATCTAATTAACATAATCAAATCTTCCTAAAAGCAGAATGTTTGCTGCGTTCTTTCTTAAACTTATTAACATCTTATAGCTGACTATAGCGTGACTTGTTTCATTTTATGGAGAAGGAAATAATAATAATAATACCAAAACAAGCTATTTTTCCATAAGAGGTAAAGGAAAGTATAAGGCATCCCAAAATTTGGTTAGATGGGAAAAATAGAGATTGTCATCAGGATGAAAGACCAATTTTAATTTAAAAAAAAAAGCCACTGATCAATAACGTCAACCTTTTATTAAGATAGATGAGACACAAAGTGCTGAAAAGTTGTTAGAAACATGTAAAAAATAAAGAACATGCAAAAATAAAAGTAAGACAATAGATTACATTAAATTACATACTATACAGAACTGGAAGACTATAAATCATGATTGATTAATAAAGTTATCTAAAGACCTGTTTGATAGGTGATGGATATAGTAATAGAGGCGAAAACATGAAGTTTGTTGTATTATTCTTTATGAATGAATTAATTCTGAATGAATTATTACAAATATAAATATATAAAGAACATAAATACAGTATAACTCCCCTAAATGTAAAATTACTGTAGCTGTGGAAAGAGAAAAAATGGTCAAACTTGATTTTTAAGCTTTTCGATTGAGATGATAGAACCAGGCCTTTAGCATGACTTTTTTTTTTTGCTCTGTGATTTTTATCTGGATGTTTCAGGTACTGCAGCTTTTCAGGTGATAAAATCTGCGTCTTTATTTTAGAAGGGATGAGTAATTCTCCTGACATCTGGAGCGCTGTAAACGGGCTGAACCAGCAGGGCTATGAAGGGGCCCTGGGGCCTTCTGTGGGCCACCAAACACAGCTGGGGAGCTACAGCTGCCTGCAGCCCACACGTGCAAACCTGGTGAGTTTGCTTTCACCAGCCCTGATATAAAAAGATAAAATAACTGCTGCGTTATTCATGTCCGTTTGCCGTCTGCTCAGGACTTCTCTCCTCAGTCGATGATATCGGCTGAAATGAACAGGGGTCTACCGCCGATGTCCACCTTTCACCGTAACAACGCAGTATCTCGCTCTCCCTCTGAGAACCCCTCAGAGAATCCAGCAGGTGAGGATTCTGAAGCCATATCTTTTATACTGAAGTAAATTCTGCTTGTAATGTTCCAATAAAGTTGTTTTTTTCAGTCTCAGGAAGCCACCTAAATGTGTCAGGAGCGTCACAGACGGGGGATACCTTGGGAAAAGCTCTGGCCTCTGTAAGTATCCACCACCTTAGTCCCATTAGAGCCATTTTTTAGGTCAGGTTAGAGCATAAAACCAAAGCTAAGGGTCCCACTCGTATAATGCATAACTTCCTCTGGGGCAGCAGAACAGCTCTACACATAAAATAGGGTTAGAGTTGTGTAGCAGGGCGTTTTATTGGCTGCACTGCAGTAAAATCGCAGGAAGAGATGAGTTTAGTTCAGGTTACAGAGAAGCTCCAGGGGTTTTGGCAGCAGCTGTTAAAGCTTGCACAAAAATGACAAGTTGTGCTTTAAAAATGATGCACGCCCGGGTCCCTCTCTTGCTTTTAGATCTATTCCCCCGATCACACCAGCAGCAGCTTCCCCTCCAGCTCCTCCACACCAGTGAGGTCTCCGTCCCCGCTGCCAAACACAGCTGAATCTACAGGTAGAAAAGCAAGCGGATTATTTCGTTAAACTTTTCCCCTCAGGATGTCATCATAGCTCACCTCTGTGGTTCGCTTTCTTTTAGGAAACAATCTGTGGAGCCGCAGTTCGGTCCAGCCGCCGGTGTCTCCGCACTTTGAGTCCTCACTCATATCGATGGTAAACAACTGGATCCATTTTATTCCATTTAAAGACTCGTCTCTGTTAATCGAGACAGAATGTGAACTAATATGAATACCATGCATTTAAATGAAGAGAAATGTGCAATAAACATGAGAAAATCATAAAGTAACATAAAAAACATCCATTTTCAGGTGGGATTATGCAGCAATTAAACCAGAGCAGGGAACAACCTGGATTAGGGCTGAAACAATTACTCAGATTAATCGATTACTGAAATAATCGTCAACTAATTTAGTAATTAAATTAATCATTAACTGGAGTATAGAGACTAAAAAACATACCTTTAGCTGACAGAGCGAAACCACTTAGAGCAGTAATTATACCTAAATTTTAAAATAATATGTAAACATTTTTCATTTAAGATAAAAAAAAAAATAATTATAATTTTTCTTTATGCTCTATTCAGAACTGAAGTGGAAAAGTTTTAGTTTCACTTTGTTTAATTTTGCTAAAAATCATCTTTAAGGAATCTTTTGCTATCCAATTATCTATTGATTAATTGAAAAAATGATTGACAGATTAATCAATTTGCAAAATAACCGTTCGTCGCAGCCCTAATCTATGGAGGATAAAAAGTGCCAAAATTAAATAAATAAATCCAGCATTAAATAAATAATTAAATGTGTCAATAATTAATTAAATGTGGAATTAAATAAATAAATGTGTCATTAAATAAATAATTAAATGTGTCAATAATTAATTAAATGTGGAATTAAATAAATAAAT